ACGTGGTGTCGAGTGTTGAGCGTCGATATCGATGCGTTCGAGCAGCGATAGCTTGGACAAGACGACGCGACGCGACGCAACGTAACGTAACGTAACGTACGCGCTTCGTTACATACATGTCTACATACATGTATTTACGACAGACAGGTAACGAATAACCGAAGACGGTGGCGACATCGAAGAACAGGAAGATGGCAAATGACAAAAGGCGACATTCTTTAAACGCGCAACCCTGTCGAAAGACCTGAGAGATCCCTCGGCGTTTATTAGTTCATAGCCCGGGTCGGATCGGATCGGATCGGATCGTCTTCCGACGGATCCAGTGTCGTCCAACGAGAGCTGGTTCCTCCAGACAAAATGCAAATCTCTCTGTGGCCTGCTAATCTGTCTGGCGCATCCGTGACGTCAGGCTCCATTGGCGGAGACATATTTCCCATTTAGATCGACGTCCGAGACTTGACTAGTGAGCAATCGTCGTTGACAATTTGAACCGAGTTCGAGGACTGTGTCTTTCGCACTTGTGTGCTCCACGCTTCCGGAGAAATTGTTAAGTAAGCCGCAGTTTGGCATTCATTTGACGATCCAACGGAGGATCGTACGAGGCTAGGACAGATTAATAGACACGTCGTATCGTTTGAAGATTGCACGCGAGGAGAAAGCTGGACGCCTCTGCAGACTATTCTCCACGACCCTCCGCGTGCGTATCGTATTAAATGTTGCGTGCCGTGCATAACCTGCCTCTTCCTATGGTGCCCACCGTGCATTCGCGCATAGTGCGCGATATTGTTGTCGTAGTTGTGGATGAGGGGATAGTCGATGTACAAACATCGTTTCTACGTACGTACGTGCAAGTTTGTGCATCGAAGAGTATACGCGAAGAGATTCAAAGAGATGGTATTGCAGACGAAAAGTCTTGCCAATTTCAACGACACCACTTAGCTACTGAAATGAAACCGACGCTTGTCAATTTTGTACGTTTCATTCCCAGTCACACACGTGTTGGTTTCATTTCGATGGAAAACGAGAAGCTTTATGAATTAGAGTTTAAAGTGTAAGGTGTCGGGTTAAAAACTGTCTTAAAGGTAACGAAAATGTGAAGAAAATCTTGAAGAAGGTTGTTCTCACCGTAGGTGAGACGTGCGAATCGCCTCTGTCGAAGAAACTGCAGTTCGCGCTACAGTTTCGCCTCTTTCGCTTGCAAAGGTGCAATTCACATTTATTAATGTCTGGTGCGACGCGTTCGCTTGGTACTCGTACACACGCGATTCCCCGAGACGCGTACGTGCGACGGAACGCACGAGTACTTATCTTCCAGGTCCCGTCGCGTTACTTTACAGACTGGTACGCGAAATACTCTCGAACGCTTTGTACCGGACAACTCGCTCCCACATTCGTGCCTGGCAATGATATTGCGTTCCTCCTTTCAACACGATCTGCCTTTCTTTCCGGACAGGCTGGACAGTACGCGGACTCCGATTTTCTCTCTCTCAGTCTCCTCTTCTTCCTCGGTCTGTCAGTCTCTCCCAGTCTCTCCCAGTCTCTCCCTGAGTTGCCGAGTCGGTCGAAAGAGAGGCGAAGGTGGAGGCTAATCACCACGCAATCACCGGTGCTGCCGGTGCGGCCGGTGCGCGCGGGCAACTCCGACCCGTTCTCAGAAAGCAGCAACCGCCTTTTGCCGCCGTGGGGCATTCACCACTGCGGTACTGCCACGGCAAAACCAACAATCTTCGTCCTCAGCTCCGCGGGAAAAAAGGCATCTCCACCGTCCACCCTCTTCTCCGCCTCTTTTCTCCAAATCACCGGAGGGCCGACCGATCGGCCGACTACTGGCATCCGGGGAATCCATCGCGAGAATGGCGGCGATTCCACTTTGAGAACCGATCGACAGACCTCGAACGTACGTATTAAACAGCGGGAGAGTGAGCAATCTTTCGAGCACGACATTGCCCGGAATGCGGATCATTGGAACGACGGATCATGTCCGGATAACACCGTTATTACAACCTGCGAGGCTTGCCATCTCAAATTCTCACTCGATTTTCGAGCGTCCGACTCACCCTGTCACACAGATACAGATACAGGTCTATCGTTTCATCGACTTTGTTATCCAGCCGCTAAAACCATCGTTTCCGATGAAACGTTGAAGTTCATCGTTTTACTCCCGAGACGAAGCTTGTTGCTGTTGTTGGACGATACTCGCTCAAAGTGAACAGAAACACTTTACGAAAAAACAGGGGTGGTTAGAGTCGAGAGGATCGGGTCTTGCAAATTTGAGCAAGAGTTGAGAGGGAAACGTAGACAATACGGGGTGCAGGTTTAACGGCGCGACGGTTGCGTACACCCACGCAGTGTGTACGTATGCATGTATATCGGACGATACGACTCGGCGCGAAACGAGCGCAGCGATGTACGGTGGTGAGCAATTCCGGGAGGAGGAGGAGGAGAAGAAGAAGAAGAAGAAGAAGACGAAGAGAAAGCGTGAGTTTACGACAAGATACACACGTGCGACTGGCTCCCTTCGGTCTCGTCTAGCAACCGTCTAATCGAATCGTGACTTATTGTCAGGCTACGTTCATGTTCAAATACGCGCGAAGGTCACGTTCGTTAGAACTGCTTTTAGAACGATTGACGCTTGAATTTCGCGTCGCGTCGGCTCGATTTTACTCGCAACGATCGACGCGTACGGAGCATCGACAACAACGTTCGATACTTTCGACGATTCGCACCGAATCGCAAATCTTTCGTCGCGCCGTTGCCGAGCGTGTATTGCTCGTTGTTGCGATCAAATTGACGGTGTTGAGAGTCGAGTTGGCTCGTACGGTTGATTCTTGATTTGCGACGCGTGCATCGACGCGGTGCGTGTAAGTGAAATATCGGCTTTAACGCTCGACATCATCTGGCATTCGTTCCGGGGACTGATTTTTCCTTGGTAACGAGCCTGACATCTTATCACTCTTAACCACGTACGCGTACGTATGTAGGTATGCGAGCGTATCTCGTATACAACTGATAACGAGAGTACGCTGCGAGAATCTGCAGGACCAGTTACCAGAGTCTGAAAGCTCTTGATTTACGATGAAGAAGCAAACTGGAGGAGAGGCCGTTTCAATTAATCATTCTGATTCCGATCGAGGAGTGGGAAAGCGGCGCGGTGCGATTCCACTCCCGAGTTCTCGCATCTCGGGATGCGAAATGTGAGCATCAACGAATGAACGGCGAATGGCGAATGGCGAACGGCGAACGGCACACGTGTGCTCTCGCTGACCAATGCGCCAAGACGTGTGTTCATTCACGCGTGACTGACGTGCGAATTGCTCCAACGATCGTATCGAATTGCCGTGACAGCTCGCGTCTCGACGCACGCGTCGTTGCTGCGCTTCCATGTACACATGCACAATTAACGCGCGTTAATTACCCCCGTGGTGGTCCTCCGGCTCTTTGTCGGCACCACGCGCCACGATACCACGCTGTCCATTTTAAATTCGTTTATCCTGTTTACGTGCGCTCTACACCGAAAAAATCCTTTGAAGTACAACCTTTTAAAATCAACCATCGCTGATTCATTGTCTCGCCAAATTTTCTGTACGACGTCGAACTCGTCGAGTAGAGAAACAAATCGATCAAGATAAACGTTGCAGGTGCTTCGCAAAAGTTCACGCTAGGAAATGAAAGTTTTCCACACAAACGTTACATAGAAATAGAATGCATCTGCAACTGTGTAATTATTCACTTTCGATATACGATTTCGTTCGTAAAATGCATTGCCAACACACGTCGACAATTGTTCCAGGAGACAGTCTGTTTCTCAACGAATTATCATCGCTTTCCATTCACGCAAATAGAAGCAGCTGACGAGTTTGGCTAAAGTAACCTTTCGTAAAACGAACGAAATGCACGTTTATGCGCAGACATATTGAAATTCGGCAGTTTCTCCAGGTATAAATAAATTTTGAAGCTGATAAAACGTTGAAATTCGACTCGTTGCGGCGCTGGCAAATTTGCCAATTTTTGCACGCACAGAGAGTCGGTTGAATCGTGCCTGATCGATTATCGAAATTTCGGGTGGAACGGTGTTTGCGTTTCACAATGCAGCGGATAAATCAGTTTTAATCGACAGTTGCCTTTACGTTTACACGAAACGCAACCAATAATGAAGCTCGTGCGAAATTTATTAACCGTGGCGTGGCGTGGCGTGGCGGGGGTCTGGCCTCGTAAAAAGTTGGAAAGATCCGCGCACGCCCTCGGGGTGAGTTCGCAAGCTATGGAATCGCGAAGGAAGTCGTAAGCTGGGACGTTTAATTGCGCAATAAATCCTGATTCTCCGATTTGCAACCCATTTCCTACTGCGGGGGCGACGATTGGTCGCTGTTAAATTGGCGCGTAGGTGCAATGGTAGGTACCTACGTATCCATGTAGGTACGCCGACTGTGAAAGTCGGAAGAGCCTCGACTCTCCCTTTTCCTCTCCCTCCCTCTTCTTCGCCTCTCTGTCGCACCCTCGGGCGTGAAACCGCGCGCGACCTTTCTTCTTCAGTCCTCTCCTCTTCTCTCTCTCTCTCTCTCTCTCTCTCTCTCTCTCTCTTTCGATCTCGCTCCAGCGATCTCGCGCTCGCGACGACCGACTTTGCCTCGTCGTTTGACATTATTTTGATTGCAAGATGTGACGAAACGTTTTCGAATTTTCGAAAATTCCGAGAGAAGTTTCAAAGAGTTTCCGAATTGTTTTCGCATTTCGGAAACCCAAGTGAACGTCGAAGTTACACGGTATGGTCATCGACATCATCGATGCGATCGATCGACCGTGTCGTATGTTTGCAAAATCGTAACGACGCGCCGCGTTATCAATGCGCCGTGTTGTTGCTGACGCGTTGCTCGAATATTGATCGTGATTAAGTCATTGAACGTGTACGAGTACGTGGAGATTTCGTTTCGTAATCTCGGCGTTCAGTTGTTGTTGCGACAGCAAAGTAATCGATGCGATTTGTTTTGGTGGTGTTACAGATTCGGTGGCACAGACGATTACCTTGACGATCCTCGCGTTCTTCCTGAGTTCCGGTCTGAATACGGTTTCAGGTGCACCTAGTTACGGCCTCCGCACCGCCGTATCTACCGCGAATAACATGGACCGGTGGCTACAACCTTGCGGTAATCCGGTGGCCATGCAGTTCAAGAGGATGCCGCAGAGGCACAGCGTTCACAGAACGTTGAAGAGGGTACGGACGCAACTCCGAGTCGCCCAGAATCACTTCAGAATGCACCTGAAGGATGTACAGGAGATATACTCGAAGGTAAACGCACGACGTGATGTGATTCGACCTGACCGCGATTCGTAATTAATCGCTGAACCGCGACGCGCCGCGTCGGCCTTAAAACAGAGTGGGCGGCTCTTTCACAGAGACTCGCGCACGTGCGCACGAATTGCTAGCGCTAAAGTCCTACTTTCCGTTCTGCCTGCAATTTGCATTTGTTACCATGTGCCACGCACCGGCGTAATTGCATTTTATTTTTTCAAGCAACAGCGTCGCTCGCTGATCCTCCGCTCGCGTTTATTAGCGCTGTGAAATAGTTTCGTATCGATGTCTCACGTAGAATTGGCTGCTCTGACAGACGACCAAATTTTCAAAAAGGATTTTAATTTTTTCGCCTTTATGTAGTTTACGAATTTTATGGGAAAGGAACAAGTGGAAAGAAAAAATCGTTAGTTGCATCGTACGACGACTGAGTAACATTAGGGTTAAAAAAAAACGTGGAGATAGTGCAAACGGCAAAAGGACGAAAGAGTGGAGCAAACTTTGGGTAGAGTAGAATTCTGCACTCTGTCAGTTCCGAGAAGAATGACACGGTCTGCACTTGTGCAACTTCAACAAGGGAATCGAGTGCACGAATTGTTGGCGTTGAATGGATGAAAAACATTTAGACAAAACAATATCTCAACTTTCGTCCGCAGGTGTACAAAGTGCTGAAGGGGCAGTACAGAATGCCGTGGCTCCCAGAGAAGGAGTTCGAGTGGTATTCGAGGGAGGTTTGGTGCCTGGAAAAGGGGAAGAAAGCTGACCGTGCGCTTCCACATCTTCACGATTCGCTGCAGAGGTTCGCCATCACGTTCCATCATTTGCGAGCTTTCCACCTCAAGTCAAACATTAACGTTGATCGCACGATGAACAGGAGGAACGAGATCATCAATCAGATGCACAACGAGATCCTCAAGGTACGGGAAATTTATTTATATCGCGTTGCGTGGCGGGGCTGTGACGCCTGACAATCGGTGGCAAAACGAGTCGTTGAAAATCTACTTGAGATCTTACGGAAATTGATTATTGTTTGAATGTCACGGCGAGAGAATGTCGAACCGAATGTTCGACTGACAAATTCGGGTGAAATTGGAATGAATGTTTGGTTACAGGTGCTGTGCGAAGTGGAAACGGCGATCTTAAACTTGGGGTTGCAAGTGCCCACAGCGCACACGGCGAAAATTGTGACGGAAAGTTCGAATTGGGCGAAGGAAGGCGACTTGACGTTGATGTTGATACAAGATTGGGGCGTGATCCGATTGTATCAGAAGTTTTTGAACGCCTGGACGAAAGCGTTCCGTGACGCGACCGCACCTGGTCCGGGGACTTGCGATCCTAACAGGCCGAATCCAGGAGCTAAGAACATTAACAAAGGCTCTGGGCCAAATGGTAAAAGGATATCGAAGATTAAGAAGCAAAAAAGGCCAGTTAGGAAGCACTTGCAGGGCACTGGCCAGAATAGTTCCTTGCCTCAGGGGTCGAAAAAGGTTATTCCGAGGAACAGACTGCTGAGAAACAAACAAAAGAAGCTCGCGAGAATGTGATGAAATTCATCTCACAAGGTTTCTCTTCGTTTTTATCAGATCTATCTCTATCGATTATTTTAAACGGACGGTTAACAGGCAATCTCTTTCACCTTGTGAATTCTCTCTCTCTCTCTCTCTCTCTCTTTCTCTCTCTTTTTATTATTCTGACTGGAACATCTTCATCGCGGTACGCTCTCGCACAAGTATTAATTTCAATGGCATTTAAGATCATTGTGTACGGAAAACGCGTAAATGTTCTTTAGTTCCTTTAGACACTTTGACATGTATTCTTTCCAATGTAGTATTATTATTATTATTAGTTCTTTTTTTTACAATTTCTTTATTCAAGCACTTAGTATTCGTGGTCGCGTAAAAATTGTTTGCCTGTCAATCTTCCATGAAGATGTATAGGGTGTATCTTAATTGGTAGTACTACTGGCAAAAAGATAATTCCACGTGAAAAAATAAGCAAACCACATACATACTTGGTAACATGCGTGATATTGGTCTGAAATATTTGCCTGGTGATTGTTCATAGAGATGTATGCTTTTTCAGTTTGTGCAGTATACATCATTTCCAACATTATTAAATCTCTACCGAGTAAAATTTCAAATAAACGATATTAGTCTGTAGGAGATATTTGAAACCAATTTCGTACGAAAGAAATCGTATTCTACGTTGTTCGCTTATACTTTCTTGTAAAATTAAGTACTTGCAAATGTACCCTTCGGTGCGATTCACCCTGTATTTTTACGCTCTTCGAGTTATCATTCACGAATTAGATTATATTTCTTATTTATTTTATCGTTACGATCATTCATAGATGCTTAGTATTTCGAAATCTTGCCAGTTTGTTCCGATGATGTAGTTGAGGGTTTCGCGATAGAATTAGACGAGAGTAATAATCGTATTAAAGAATTAATCGTCGACTTTGTTTTCGATAACTGGTGCATTTGATGGTTGTATGAAATTGTTATCGAGTATCCAGCTGTATACTAGAAACCAGTATTACGAAGTGTACTTCACAACAGTATTACGTTAAATAACATACTTAAATAACTAGAATAGCGAATAATATCGATAACAAGTTCGATTTTTATGGCGCACTTTGATCGATTTCTTTTACGAGATAATTCAATTTGGAGAATCATCGTGGAAAATGCAACGGCAGTTGATAAATCAGTAATTTCGATGCCAGAGCCGCTTCTACAAATACTTATACAACTCGTTATAACGTTGGAATACTTGGTATTCGGCGTAATGAGCGTTGGCATTCCAACGTGACAATTCCATATTTAATCCATTACAGATACATAGACTCAATGGAATTGCATTTATTTGAACTTTACTATTTTTTCTAAAATTATTTATTGAAATTATGAATTGAAATTTTCAAACAACAATGTCGTAGTATATTAACGAGTAATTTTCGTACGATATCTGTATTATAAAACTTGAAATCGGTAACAAGTCAAAACGTTCTTCATATTTTACAGATGAAAAATTCTCAATAAATTTCAATGTCTTGTCGATCGATTTCCTCTCTTTTTTCATTTGATTTTAATATTAAATATTGAGTATACCCGTTATAAAAGGTACATTTAATATTTGAATATACCTATCATATGAAATGAAACGAGTTGACACGAATGAGTTTCATCGTAAAAGTATCTACGTCGGAGGAAAGCTAGGTAGTTTCGGAGATTTTGAAACATGCGCGAAATTTTCCACGATGCGCCGTAACAGTCATCGGTTTAATCACCGTACAAAACAGTTTGTCAAATTTATTTATTGTAGCTTTAACGTAAGCAGACGAAAGCTTCATGTCGTTTAGCTGTGATATCTTGAGCGTACGCGGACGTACAGAGTTCCTACGTTTTATACATAGGCGCATTATATATATATATGTAAGTTACGTGCGTTCACGCGTACAATACGTACTTAGATGTAATAATATTTCTCTTATTCTCATTATTTCTCTTTTTACTTTTATTTTTTTTTCTTTCTTTCTCCCCCAGTTCGTAGAATCTCGTCTTTGTCGCGAACATGACAACTTTATCTTACCCGATACATACTTTGCTTCTTACTTACTTATTGTACTTTCCAACGTCCACGCAAAGATTCAGCGGTAGTTACAGACAATCGACATTTTCGATTCTCTTAATTTCCATTCTATTTTATTTTGCGTTTTATTCTATTCTATATTCGTACTTTTTATTCTACTTTCGGCCAGACGATGAAACGACGAATGCTTTCTTTTTTTTAAGATTACGCGAACCAATGTTAAGGGACCAATGTTACAATTCGGATGTGAAAGATTATTCGTACACACACACACAGACGCGCATACACACACAGACACACGCACACAGACACGATAAAAATGTGTATACGAATAAGGCGAAAACACCGTGTTCATCTTCGTTGAAACGAAAATGTATGTACATTAAAGACAATCAATGTTTTCTATGGAACCGGTACTTAGGTATTACACACGTACGTTAACGTTAAATATTTTTCTACTTGGTATTCACACACGACGTGATACTGAACATTTTATACACGCACATTTAAATATTAAGGATTTCACTTGCATTTTATCAAGTATACGTAGCAGGTATATTTATTCTAGCATATGCGTAGGCGTACATAACATTACGATTTATTTATTGTATCACGTTACCATCGCATATATTATTTATTGTCATTTCTGTACTTATGTAATCGTCTCGAATAAATCCGATGTTTTTGTATTGAACAGCCTACTCGTCTTTCATTATCCAACTGTGTCCAACAATTAAACCTTTGTTAAACAATCGTTTCAAAATTAATTGTAAATTTTTGCATTTATATGCGTTTATACTGGACTTTAATAAATTGTATCAGGATTTTATGAACCGTTCGCGCATCCGCGTTTAATCAGCTGACGATCGTTATCGATACTGCCCAAGCTCAGCTGAGTGTTCCTCCGTTGCGGATAATAACCTATCGGAACTGCTGAATTTGCGTGGGTTACTCACACTCGAGCAACTTGGCGAAAATAACAGCGGAAAGCTTAGCGCAAAAATATTTAATGAAATATGTATGTAATTTATTAATGAAAATAAATTCCGTTCAACAACGCGGGATTGAAAGAGTTCAAATTTAACTTTCATGGCACGACAAATTGCCATGAAAAATTTGATTAATCATTTATTCATAAATTTCAAACGTTGCTGTTTCGTTTCTACCGTCTAATTTATAAAGTTGCTTAACAGACACGAATAATAAATATACGTCGATTGATCACGAGATACTGAATAATTTTCTTTGTGTAATCAATTTTTATAGTACCATTGACATTACGCTGCCACTTTTTTTTCTATTTTTCATTGTCTATAATCGATAAATATTCGATTCATTTTCGTCTGAATTTTACTTCGTCACGTGTTGTTAATCACATCGTTAATTCTACAATGCTACGAATAATTTTATACGAGGCAATTGAAAAATGTTATCGTTGCAGATTTTTATGTTTGATACTTGTCAGATTTATCAATAAAATTTTCCTCTATTATTTCCCTTCAAACCCTTCGGAGACTTGCCTTTATTAACTTGAGAACTATCCTGAACAACAGGTCTAGTATCAGGAGTGCACGAAGGTTGGAAAAGCTTGAGCTATATTCATTATTGTTTTCATACACACATAGACGATTTACACCATGTAACGATTTATTTAACGAAGAGAATTTTGCAACAAAAGGATTTCAAGTATCGAAACATGGTTCTGTTTCCTTCATTATGTGGGACAAACTAAATATATACTACTTATATCTAAGTTAGGCAGATCTGAATCTAAATTATTCTTATCATTTTAAATAACAATAGATATTTTATTTTATGTCTAAATTATTTTAAAATGAAATTTGTAACATCGCGTTTGTCAAATGGTATAATTTTAATTATACAATAATCGTGATACTTTTACTTTCGTAAATTTCAGTTATCAGACAGATGTGTCCGTTATTTCATTATAGGTATTTGGCGTGAATTAAACTGGAGAGAAACACGAGTGTAATCCCTTCTAACTTGTATCTGTATCTGTATCTGTATGTGTGTCAACGCTCAACGACAAGTTGAGACGCTCGTACGCAAATGAAGCTATTGTTTGTTTCCTCTAGATGCTGATGTACGCGATCGTACCCGGAACACCGCATGGCGTTAGTCTAATCTGGTGTGAGCAGATCCAATTTTAGTCGGGTAAATTCATCGAACTGTCTAATTATAGTATCGCCATATATGGTACATGTCTAACGTATTACGTGTGGGATCAGCGTCGACACGGGACGCGTACGTTGAAATAAGACTTCATTCACTAGTTTTTTCTCAACTCATCTTCTCAGATCTAGATCCGTCGGCAAAGTATTGACCCTTTTGACGTCAATTTATCGCACCGACTGCTTTCGTACTTACGCATCATTCTCTCGCGCGTGTTGGTAATATTCGGTGCAAGTTCTGCTTCTTGCGGATGCTCCGAATTTATATTTCAATTTTTATACGAGAAATTTTATTTTTACACTCTCGTGTCTGGTTGAAAATCTCGTAGATAGTACTCCAGATATATACCCATCTACAGGAACAATCAATATCAACGCGAGTAGAGCGAATCATTGTTTTCATACGGATGATAATAATAATGTAAATAATAGAAAATATACGAGTGAAGAGCGATTCATGAATGGGATTGATATGAAATTACTTTTTTACGTAACTACGGAACGATACAACTCAATGACATGACAGCTTTATTCTTTGTCAATAACGGCAAAGATCGGCGTCTAGTTTTATCGGATCAATTCACACTCACGATCTGTAACAGCAAGTAGGTGCATGATATTTGCTAGCCAGTGATTCCTCGGCATTTGAATCACAATGCAAACATCGGCATTTGCGCCTGCAAACGTAACATTTACGAGATTACCGAAAGTAACGGAACTGTAACTATACACGCGTATAGTTGTTCCTTCCAATGGTCTCGCCAGTATTGTACACGCACGATGTCAGGTATCGTAGGTTTTTCTCAGAAATTCGAAATGTCTACAAACGGGAATCCGCGAATCCGCGACGTCTATATCAACAGGAATTACAAGTGCTGAAGCGAACACGTCATACAGATAAATTTGGATGCAGACACAGTGGTCATGTCGCTTTGCCGAAAAAGGATTACTCGAGATTGGGAAGCTTCCTATCCAATTTATGGAACGGATCAGCCTTTAAAACAAACAAGCGATAAAGAAGATTCCATTCTCTCGTTCGTGCGTTCGCAGGACGATTCGAATAGAGTGATCAATTAATCCTAGTTTTCCATACTCTTTCAACGAGTGTATTTATTTTAATTTAATTTAAGATTGCGTCAAATAGATAGAGATCACAAGCAACCATACTATTATAGTTCCATTCCACGACCAAAATACATAATTCCACGATCAAAATACATCATTTTTAATTAGAACATAAAATTTATAAGATGAGATAGATAATTCGTTACAGAGGAAACAACGTAATCCGTAGATCGGAACAAACATGACGAAGGAAGGAAGTAGTTATCGATTTTAATTTTCGGCGATATGACGTATCTATCTCTAATCAATCGCGCCACGTCGTATCGCATCGTATCGCATACGGGATTATAAATATCGTACAACTTGTTGCATTTGACGCCATTCATCTCTATTACTACTTGCATTACTAATTGCAAGCGTTACCGAAACAGAGTCAGTTACGAAGGCTACAGATAGTCTAACGACGAGAGTTACGTGAATCAGTCGAGACGTAAGTCGTATTTTCGAAAATCACTTCGAAGAAAAAGGCTCGGCCGTGATTCCACGGGATTCTACCAGAGCGGTGAAAAACTTAGACAAAACATAAACCGCCACCCCGCCGTCCAACGTGCGTACATACGTACGTTCGATTGTTTACACAGTCTCGTATATAAGTTGGAAGCACGAGAGTTTGACAATCACAGTGCACGATCCCAAGCGGATAGTTAACATCGTCTTCGAAAATCGTTCGTTTTGGCCGGAATTGCTTGTTTCGACTCAAGTCGTTCGCTTCGACTGAAATCGTACGTTACGACCGACGAATTGCTCGCTTCGACCTGTCAAAGTCCAGCGGACCAACCCACTAATTAGTTCCAACTGATAATTATTAGTGATCGTGCGATTGTTGTATTTACCTCGCAACCGTACAAAACTTACGAATAAAACGAAAGTTAGGAAACCAAGATGTTCGTCTCACGTAGCTACTTGTTCATTTCGATGCTCGTTGTTGTTTCTGCGGCGCCAAGAAGACACACCAGATCCAGCCTACCAATGTGGTACTTGCCATGCGGTGAGGAACAAGGGGAGGAAATCGAAGTTCCTTCGCTGGACGAAGAAATCACCGGCAATGTACAAAATCTAACTATAGAAAACCTCAGGCTTCAACACCAATTGACCATGAACGATTATTTGAATCGAGACTACGAATACCTCTACGAAGATGTACGAATCGGTGTCGAGGAGTACCAGTATATCCCGAACTGGGTTCCGGGCAAAGAGGACGTGAACAAGATCAAGAAATTGGCCAATACTAGTCCACAAACGGTGAGTGTCTTACACACTTGCGATGAGTATCTTTATTTTTTCATAGATTTTTCATCGAACCTAAGATCTTGGACTCTGTCTTTTAAACAAATTCTTTTTAAATAAGATCAACCTAAGCTCTTCACTAAAACGCGTAAAAAAACTCGAACAACCAGTGTGATATTCTGAAAAAGTTTCTTCGAAACTTCTTCAATAAGAGATAAAAGAGGCAATTCGCCTCGGAAGAACAATTTCGCGATAGTAGAAGAAAAATAATAATTCGCCGGCAACTTGCAATTGATAAGATCTACAACTACTCTCTACCTGAGGAAATAGTTTAATTTGAAAAGTTTCCAAGTGAAAAAAAAGTAGGTAATACCCCATTTAGAAAGATCGTTCAAAGCTGGTGAAGGAAGCATAAGAAGAGAGTATTGAACTCCGAACGAAACTCTCGCAGCAGTAAAAGACTAATCGCATCGAACTTGCCCAAAGACGTGATTAACATTTACATATATCGTTAGTTAACGATACGCGGTTAATTCTTCTTTACGCGGTTAATTTAGCAGCGGACGTTTGCATAAGTATTGATCGAGCGTAGAAAAATTCGGGACGCGGGAATAAAGGGGAGAAAGGTGAAGCGTAGCGAATTCGCGGAAGGACAGGTGAGAGCTGTTGCTGCTGGTCGCGCGCATTTTCACTGGTCAGGCCAATTGACCGAGCATCCCGATGTTGCAATTAATTAACGCAACGTTAAATAACAAATTTTAATGAGACGGTAATTATTATAAAGTAGCAGGGGAACAGAAGCGTGCGCGACTGTTCGAGATTTGCGCGCGCAATGCAGCTTGGTGTATTCGGTGTAGAGTACACGGTTGCTCATGTTAGCCGGATCGCGCGGCTGCGTAATCGCGCTTGTCCTCCAGAGCAATGCGTGCATCCGTGCACACTGATAACGCATCCCTGATAACGTTGTTCGGGGGACTCCCGTACGATATTTAATAAACGTCGTTCTTTCTTCTTCACGCTGCACCGACACAACGTTCCGCACGACGAGAGAGCGTGTTGATTATTTCACGGATCGCGTACTTCCTCGTTCTTTCGCGAAAAGAAACGGCTTTTTACATTGGTACACAGGTGCGAAACAGATGATCAAGTTTAATTTTACATCCAAATACTTTTGAGTCACAGAGTTCTACATTATCTAATCATTTGTAATATCCAATGCCAATGCATCGAGTCATCGAGACGCAGATATATATATGTATGTATATCGTAGGTATGTAACAAAGGATTTAAATTTTTCTTGCAGATCGTCGATCACTTTCCAAAGTTGCACGTGGACCTTCAAAAATTTGCGGTTGCGTTCGAAGAGTTGGTGAAAGATGAGATTATTCGAAAGAAGTACAAAGCACTAAAGACGACGCAATCGTATTTGATGATGATGTTGTGCGAAGTAGAAAGCAATATCATGGCTCTGCCATCCCTTCGGATTCCATCGCGTGTGGGAAGAAGTATCATGAACAACGCAGAACGAGAGCCCGAGGACAATACTAGAAGACTTATTCGTGACTGGGGCGTGCTTCTCAAGTACAGAGATTATCTTCACGCTTGGAGGCACGTTTTCAATTATTAAATAGCGTCAGAACAAACGACAACAACATTCGAATTCGATGGTAAAACAGAAGGATTTGCCTCTAATACATATTTAAATTATAAGCCTATGGCACGATCTTAAATTATTTTTTGGCAGTTTATTGAAATTACGGGAAAGAGACGCTGCCTCTTTATTGTAACAGCAATTCATCAAGATCATGAGAGTAATATGAGGGTCATGGTTTCTTGATTTAATAATTTTCATACTAATTCGTAGTTAAGCGGGAACATCTTAAAATTTTATGAAAAATAAAAATACCAGCCTAGCTAACGTCATTCATGATAATCGTTATTTTTGAAATATTTTTGAAAGAGAAATTTCAATTTTAAGATGAAGTAAGAGGATAACTTTGTTTAAATGAGATTAATTCGTAATGGGGTATTTTGAATTCAAAGATTACTTCTTAGTGAAAGACAAAAAATGTGATTTATTATATATAATTGTGAGCGAAATTAGCGAAGCATATAGGACATTAACATCTACCAACAATGATTGTCGAGAGAAGCAGAGTCGTGTCACAATATGCATGACTAATGGACGACACAGCTAAAGTCAGCTGTGATAAAACTGTTCGAGATAACCTGACCCATTGCGAAACGTATTTCAAGTGACATCGGGTTAATTAATTTATTTATTCATGAAGTTATTTATGACAATCATCGAGCATTAGAATTAGTATTTATTATTTATTCATTATTTATTATTTATTCGATAAGATGCATCATTATTTATTTAGAATATTTATTTATTGAAAACAATTGTACCTCTTTCAATTGCCTTTTCAAAGGTGATATCTAACCAGAATTTTAAAGATTCTGGAATGCAATTTGTGATAATTCATCTTTTAGGAAAATTACTATCTTTCTGACAAATAATCGTTAGTAGCAAATATATTGGTGAAAGACAACGATTGCAATATAATTGTTTTATGTATTGTTCAGTATTATTGATTAAATATTTATACTATAAGCCTATTTATAAGTGATATATTTATGTTTATATCAGATATTTATAAATTGATACTATATTTAATAATTTATTATAACGTTTTACATCACATTCCGTAATAAAATGAAATCTATTTCAAAACAACTGCGTTTATTTTCTTATCTATTGATTACTGACAAGAAAATATTAGAAGTTGAAAATTTTTTCCAAGAGATGGTTCTATAGAAAATGATTTACCTACTGAGTACGAATAGTCAATCAAATGTTGAACATCCTTTCTACTAGATGGTACTTTTGTACGTATCACAGTAAGCAAAATTTAAAAACGGGAAAAATATTAATCAAAGGCTATCTTTAATCTATCCTCAGTCAATATAAATACCACTAACTAATCTGTGCTAGAAACGAGATCTGTATGATATAATGTAGTTCATATTTCTCGTAGTTCATATTTTGAGGGAGATCAGATGCTTGCCTTTCTATATTTGTATCACATGCGACATTACCGATTTAGTATAGAATAACAGGAGTGGTTCAAGTTGGAACTAAATTTCAAAAAATTATAAATAATATGATTGTAGAAAGAAAAATAGTTCATAATTATAAATGGTATGAAGATTCATACTTCTTCATAAAATTATTTTATCAGAAGAAACTTTTAGTTTGTTACACACTATAAAAAAAAGAAAATTGAAAACTTTTCTATTAATACAAATATGATTATCATTATTGTGTAACTTTAATGCAAATTTCACAAGTCTAATCAATTTTTCGAAATACCAGTTCATAATCTTTGAATTAATTTATTCCATATCCACATTGAACAAAAAAAGAAAAAAATACTACACACAAAGACTAAACGTGAGTATAGCGACAAGTTAATAACAAGAATGATTCCCTACAATTCAGATTTCTTATTACAAAAGTTGTACACATAGAATATTGATTACAGTAACTGTTGTCACAATATTCATATCAATTCATATTAATAATATTGTGTAGATAGTCACATTAGTAATATTCATATCAATTGTTCATATTAGCAATATTGTATTGATGTTATATTCATACTAATTAATAATGTTTTATTATTACTATTAAAAAACGTGATATGCAAGAAAATCTGTCCTTATGTAATAAATAAAACACAAACAAGAAAATGTTACTACGCACAATAAATACCTGTGGTCACTATACTTGCAATAAAGCCTATATAATACAACCGGTCACCCGTGTCGATTCAGATCTTTTATCCTACGACATGATTGAGCAACCAGAGGAACAAAATTGCATGCGACTCACCATTAGAAGCGAAGCACGTTGTCATGGACCTGGCAAAATAATTGTCAAATCTGTCGTCGGAAATCTTCGAATCCGAACAAAAACTGAAAAAAATTTGCAATAAAATATTATAATTTTCACTTAATATTTAATTTAAAAGTAAAAAATATAAGTTTGTTAAACTCTTTTTAATTAATAATAATTTAAGAAAATTTATGAATTATTACTAAAATATTATTATGTATTGTAAAAAAATCCCTAATATTGTTAAATATCTTAGTTATTAATGTTTCAATATAGTTGATTTGCAAATATTATGTTCAACAAGTTTCAAATATATTTTATACTAATTAAATATTCGCGTTTTTCTTGTCAACTAAACAAAGCTGCGCAGTACGTAAAAGATGCGATGCGCAGAAGACATTCAAATATCTCCGTTTCTACGAAAAAAATTTGTTTTTATTAAAAGAAATCAAATACCTTATTTCCATAAGAATCTGTCAGAGTCAGCATTAATTACCATAATGCGATGTTCTTCCAAATTTTATAGCATTTTGTTATTTCATGGCGTCTTTCTAGTACTTCCAAGTTTCGTAATCAATCAAGAACCTATACAAAAAAAAAAAAAAAAAAAAAAAAAAAAAAAACTAAAACTTTCGGATAAATGCATAAAAGAGAGGATTACTGATAAAATACTTACATCGATTAATGATACGAACAGTGATAGTTTGAAAATAAATGAATTACATACGCCGTTAATGAAAGTCGCTCGCGGTGATACGTCTTAACGACACGATCTTTAGTTATAGACTATCCCCCTCCACTGCGGAGCAGGAAGTTCACAACAGGAAATAATTTGGCGGGGACGTGGTAGATTCGATTAATTTCGAAATACGTTATGAAAATGTTTTCAACCATGAATTTCTAATTACTTTGAAATTTTATCAATATAATCGTGTGATAACATTATTTAATTGACAAAAAGTTTTCTATATTTTATGTATTCTCGTGAATTTCTGTATATGAAAATATACATATGCACTTCTAACTAATCGATACTCGAATTGAATATATCTATATCTAATAATTATTTTAAATAAAGCCTGCTGTTCTATATTGCAGACAAGATAAATACTAGTATAAGTATTTTTCGAAATCATCATTCGAATTGACTATTTCATAAGGATAATGCTACTGACTTATCATTTTATAATTGCTATAATAACTCGCGCTTTTATTTTTTTCATAGTTGGTATTTTGTCATGTCCACTCTATCTGTAGTCAACTTCACATTTAACCACAAAATATTAATTGGTCTATAGTCCATAAGATTGGCATTAACCTAGAAGTGTCAGTTTCAGATAGGAGGCATAGTGAAAAGAAACATTATCCAGAAATTGTCAGGTTACAAAAATTACAATCAATATATTTAATGTTGTATTGTCAAGTACACTTGCAATATAAAACAGCGACATTATTTGAAAGATACGTATTCAATTTGACTGTCGATGTTTATAAGTAAATGTACACATTTCCATATAGAGAAATTTACAAAGGTATATAAACTTTTCTGTTTATTAAATGAGGCTGTCATACGATTTGTGTTAATGAAATTTCAAAACAATGATCGAAAACATTTTCATGTTGTAGTTGATTCTCTCCGTACACACTGCTATCCCCACTCTATCAAATTATCTTGCGACGCGAACCTGTTGCGCGGAGGGTTAGTTTGTAACTGACGATTGTGGTATTAGAATGTATCATCACACTCATTGTTTATTAATTGCATAATTTTTTCATCATCAGCCCTTCGTACCGCATTTATGTAAGTCTTTCTTCAGTAATTCATACGTAATTTGTCCCTTTTATATATTTATTCGAAAGGTCTTTGATTTTGTCTTTGACAGATGTTGATTGCAAAAGGGCTAGCTTGTATTGGAAAGAGCATTATAGAGAGACAGAAATTTAACACAATTCAAAAGGACGTCGCACCCTGGCAGTTAATATTGACTTTGATAGGAAGTTTTCATAAAGGTAAGATAATATTTGATTTATATTAATAAAGACAAGTTCCTTTTGGAAAGGGATGGAAAAATTTGAATGTGTACTGCGCATCGCATCTTTTATGTACTGCGCAGCTTTGTTTAACTGATAGACGCCATATTTGATCAGTATAAAATATATTTGAAACTTTAATGTCCGATATTCGAAATATAACTTTTGCGAATCGATTGACAGATATTGCGGAATTTTCTTACAATACATAATTATAATTTACTAATTTATTTCATAATAAATTAACAGTAATTCATAAATTCTGTTAAATTATTGTTAATTAAAAAGTAAGTGATACTGATTAAAAATCTGACAAATTTGCATTTTCTGTTTTTGAATCTAATATTAAGTAAAAATAATAATACTCCATATTTTGTTACAGATTTCTTCCAGTCTTCGTTCAAAGATTTCTGTTTGATGATGGACTTGATAATGACTCATTTTTCGCATCTGATGGTGAGTCGCATGCGTTTTCGTTCCTCTGGTTGCTCAATCATGTCGTAGGATGAAAGATCCGAATCGACACGAGCGACTGGTTGTATTACGTAGAATTTTTGACGAGCATAGTGACCGCGGGTATTTATTATACCCGTAAATAGTAACATTTTCTTATTTTTTGTTTTATTAGTTCAGGATAGGTTTTCTTGCATATTGCGTTTTTGAATGATAGTAATAAAACATTAATAGTTATTAATATGAGTATAACATTGATACATTATACGAGACGAATATCGTGATACTGAAAAACATTGTATGTATCTGTGATTAGATATCACAAATTGTATTCATTATAATTATATTTATTATATATTAAAGTATTCCTATGATTATTCTTGATTATTTTATCCGTCTAAAAATGTATCTTTTACGTGCAAGAAAACATTTCGCGACAGGTAGATTTCAGAATCAAAGTAACAGTTTCGTTGTTTTATGTTTTCAAAGATATACTTTGATGAAGGAATCACCTGAGGGAATTTTTATTAATATTTTACTTATTCATTATACAATAATTCACTTACTCATTGAATTTCATATTATTTGCATTGAATCTTGGTCTCTTTCTCAACCAATATGTTTATTATTAATTTTCAATGCTCAAGTATAACGTCTCAATAATTTATGAAATTATTATTGAAGTAAATTATGAAATGAGAATCGAAATAAATTAAGAAAATGCAATATTAGCCCGTTAAATATAAAATAGATATGCTAATCATGTTTTTAGCTTAGGATTTTCAGGTTTAATTTTTTTCCGTGTTTATTGCCAGGACCTCGCTCACGTGCCCAGGTGCTACTTGGGTGGGAAAAAGGCAATGGGCATGATGATCTTAGTTAATAAGTTTAATAATTTCTCAGCGACTGATGATGCGTTAGCGTATCGTGCACGACGTATTCTCTACATTGCGTGTGTGATGTGTAGTTAGGCTGTGGAATTGCGTCGTTGTTGCTCTTATTTAAACAATATTGTCAATTTTAATGATTATTCTATATAATATTCTATGTAATAATGAAGAACAGATAAAAAATAACAATACAGCTATGAATATTTAATTAATATCGAAATGCATGTTATATTTATCATATTTTACGCAATGATCGTCAGCGCTCGTCGGTCGATTTCAGAAAACTACGTAAATTAAAATGCAAATGTTGTGTGCTAAACTCAGGTGTCGGAGGTGTCC